AATCGTCTATGATTGAATCCGAAAACCAGGCCCTGCGATCTCTCATTGCCAGTTATAAACCACATAATAACTCTTTTCCGTTTTTCTAGATGTCGCTACAACCACAGAATTGTCAAAATTGGAAAATACCAGCACATCAAGAACACGTCCGATGTCGATAACATTGACATGAGATTGACATGTCAACATATGACAATATGCCAAAATATTCATTTGATCATAACTAATAATTCATAATGTTTTTTGTTCGCCGGTCTTGCATTTCATCTTTCTTTCTGTTGTCAAGTGTTCTTAAGTGATATCAAAGTTGTTTTGTGTGTTTCAAGAAGAACTTCAAACTTTATAGATTGGAAGATCTATTTTTATCTTTGTTGATTAGATAAATGACAGGATCAATTAAACATCAATCAGAACTTTGAATAAATATGTTAAGGATCCCTTAACCATCGATAAAGAAACTGTCTTTTGATCTAATTAACAAATTATCAATTAATTTAAGCAAACATTAATGCCCCAAAGTCTAGAATAAACGAATTTGAACAGACCGACAGTAATGCGAACAGGGTGCCATCTATCATAAAAAGTCCTATGTAAAGTAGGTGTCTGTAGCATCAATGCAAAACCAGTAAATAGTGATTTTCCGATGTGGTAGATGGCGCTGGCTTGGCTCAATTTTGTTGACAACAAAATTTACACTGAGATTCCATTCTCGACAGTTTATATAGTATTTATCTCTGCCGAAGACCATCAATCAAAAACTGCTTATCATCATAACTTAAATTTTCTTCTATTATTTATATTAGAGAAATGAGAAAACATTCTGTGATCATAAATATTAATTAATTAGAAAAAACCGACACCAATAATAGTGTGTTTTCGAATTTGCGATGATGCGAGATGCAGTAAAAAGGTAAACACAAAGCTTATAATACAAACAATTGGAATAAAAAAATAAGTTTGTTTGAAGATATCTCAATTTTTGTATTGTTCAATTACCTCCTTGACCCCCTTAAGGAATCTCATTGCATCTAATTTGGATTTTTTAAAAATAAGTTCTGTTATCGTTCTAAACAGTTGCTCGGTAAATTTTAGCAAGTTTTTTCAACAAATGTTTTGCTTTGCAATTAACTGTTTTGAGCGTTTACAGTACTTTATTTTTAATAAATCTTAAATAAAATAAAAGTTAATAATTTAATTATTCAAAAAAGCCGCCTTTTCACTGTCGATAAAGAAGAACTGCATTTAAACAATGTTCACTCTTTTTATTGCTGTCCGTAGCCACCAGAGGCGCTAACGTCGACATTGTGCCAGTTAAGTACAGGGGAATGACTTCTCTCGTAGTTTACTACTATTATATTTCTCTATGGACTGTTTCATAAAAATTTGGGCGTAGCACCCAAAAATCTAAACCTCCCGCTTTTCCATTTCAAAAACTTGGCAACCCTACTGCCAAGTAGTTTTATGTTTATTTCTTTGTCTAAATATATAGTATTCCCACGAACTGAATTTTGGTCGGCCAATTAGATACTCAGTCACCATATTGCAGCGAAAATTGCTGCTTGGTGTTGAAGTTTTGTCTTGGATGGCGCCACGATCAAATTTCGACCGTTGGAATATATAGTATTCGTTATGCACAGAGCAGAGCATAAGCAGTCTTAGACCGTTTGAGTCTTCACCACCTAGACCGTGCCTGCCAATGACACCCTCCCAGGCCTCAGAATCCGACCCTACACGTGCGTTCAAATCTCCGAACATTATCAGCTTGTCACTTTTTGGCACGTTTATGATTTGCGCACCCAAGGCTTCATAGAAATTATCCTTAACAGCGTCATCATTATCCATGTTGATTGGTGCATACACATTTATTATTGTGAGATTACTTTTATCCGCTGGAGGCTCCCGAAGAGTTATTATTCTGTCAGTAATACCTTCAGGAAGATTTGCAAGTTCTTTCACCAAAGAGTTTCTAATTGCGAAACCGACGCCACTTCGTCTAGACTCCTTTACAGGGCGACCAATCCAATATATCGTATAGCCACCGAGATGTTCTGCAATTTGACCTTCGTCAGCAAATCTAGTCTTGCTCAAAGCAGCAATATCTATGTTGCATCCCTTAAGCTCGGGAGCTACAATAGCTGCTTTCCGTTCTGGGCACACATCATTGGATTGTCCTGTAACGTTCTTACGTTCCCAGAGGTGGCTATCTTAACCTTAGTTCATCAATCAATCAATTCATCAATCACAATAATCTTTGATAATAATCGTCACATGTCACTGGGTAGATGTTTCACGAAATGTTTCAGTTTTTTATGGACCATCATTATCGCAACTCCTCCTTGATGCGTATTCTCCTCTGTGTTGTTCTGGAATACCAGATCAATATAGTTAGTGGATTTTTCTTCTGTTAATCTTGCACCAAGACATTCCTCTTTGTTTTGGATATTTCTTCTAACAATTTTTCTAGACGCAGCAATGCTTACGACGGATGATTATAGGTAACCTGGGATAATGGTAGTAAACCACGAAATGTACAAGAATATATGTACAAAAATAAATACTGTTTCATTGAATTTATCACTAACAAACTAAATGAGTAACGAGATGAGTAATGAGGGAGAACAACCTTTATTATGTTGTTCTGGAATACCAGATAAATAATGAATGTACATAGTGGATTTTTCTTCTGTTAATCTTGCACGATGACACTCCACTTTGTTTTGGATATTTCTTCTAACAATTTTTCTAGGCGTAGCAATGCTTACGACGGATGATTTTATGTAACCTGGGATAATGGTTAACAGACTAAATGAGTAACGAGGGAGAACAACCTTAAGAAGTATATAATTATTACAAGGAAACGATAAACAAATTTTATTCACTCTTCCAACCATCTTTTAACTACAGGTTAAGGCCCAATTGGATTTCAAACATATAACTTTATGCCTCTAGCAATATATTAATAAACTTAAACTGAATGAATAATCAAATTTGATTGTTAGAATAAGATTAGCCTAATTGCGCTTTTGCAGTTTTATATTCTTCGAGTCTATGATACTATAATAAATTTCAATTATCTCATAAATAAATAAATAAATAAATAATGGACTAGATAATGGATTAAAAGTGTAGTTTACTATAATAGGTCACTACTCGTTAATCATCATTTTTAAATTTTATATTTATAGATTTATTTGATGTCCTGGAAATTGAATTTTAATAATATCGAAAGGCCTTGGATGTATTTTTAACTATCCAAGATTCTGGTAAATTTTAGGTTCAAATTTCCATCATCCTGGTTTAAGTAGACATTTGATTTGGTATGAAAAATAACCTGATCAAAATTTCAATTAAAATTCACCACCATAACCATTTACTTAAAAGTCTCCCAAAAGCAACGCAGAATAATAAATATTTTAATTTTTGAAAATCTCCATGGCGTATCGGACTGGTCAGACAAGAATTTTAAAAGCCTCAAGGATAAGAATGTAAAGGAATTACAAAAAAAGAAGAAATTGAGAGAGATCTTCGAATTCCTTGTCAATCCATAAAAATAAATGTCTTTAGGAACTTTTGGGAGACTTGCTTAATGGTCAAAATTCAACATAAGCCATGACTATAAAATTATACTATGGAAGAAGACGTTCTTTATTGAAGTTCTAATTCCTCTTAGGTATATATGGTTTAACTTTCCACCCTTAGGATCAGGAACTGGTTCTCTTATTACCAAATAATAATACATAAGGATTAATGAGGTAGGTATGTATTTTCAAGGGTCCATTTATATAAGGTTCAGTTTTTCAATTTCTATATATTTGTGACAATTTGCGTGTGTATCTGAGCTTTTAAGACTTTGCTTTTATCATTTGGATTAAGCCAAAGATTTCTTTTAAAAATGCTCCCATAATTTCAGTTTTATATTCAAATACCACCTATAAAACACTCCAATCACTTTTATTATAAAGATAAGTACCTAGAAAAATATAGTCTAATCAAAATTGACTTTTATGGAAAAAAAAATCCTGATGAGAAACCAGAGAAAAACTTTTCAATCAAAGGGAATCTCTTATTATCAAAAACTCTTTTTATGTAAATTTAGGTGTTTCATCACCAAATAATTCGATCTGATGGTTTTAAGTTATATATGAAACTCAAAACTTGTGCATTTAATTAATTCTAAAGTTTAAAATTTATTACCTACTCAGTCAACTTTACATAGGTACTATAGTTAGGTAATCAATAGTTCTACCAAATCTTCTACAATAAACGATAACAATAAGCCAGTCTCTACCTCCTTATGTTTTGGAATGCGAAATTCTCAATGTTGCGGCATATTTTGCGATTTTTGCTCGGATTTTTGTCTAAACGGATTTGCCTTTCCCTACTGTCAAAAAAACTCAAAAACAGGTAGGTAGGTATATAATTTCCAGGAATATTCCAATATGCAAATTACACATTTTGAAAATTCTTTAAATAAAAACCTGGATAAAAACTAATTCAAAGTCAGTTTGCGGAGTAGGGTAAGTACAACCATATCAAATTAAAATAGAGGTTTGTTGAGAAACTAAAACTAAACAACTAAACCTCAGCCTGCGTGAAATTTTCTTTTTCATAAAATGAAAAAAAAAGTAGCGTTATAGGTAGAGGTAGGTACCTAGGGGTAAATATTATGTGATGTGTACCTATGCCGGAAGAAAAAACACAACCAACGCAGCAAAACGGAAGCATTTTTAATGGTCCTCCTAATGGGCCACAATTCACCCAAATACTTTTATCTATGTTATGGTTTAATTTGAAGTGATTTTTTTTTACTTTTATCATTGGGGTCTGTTCTTCGTTCTTCCAGACAGTAGACACAGCGATTTTGTTTGGTTCAATACCGAATTCCAAGTGTTTTAAGATACCATTCAAAATCACTTTTGAATCTCTGTGAAAATCGGTCTTCATAAATTTAAATCGAAAGAACTATCAAATAACCCCTAAAACTCAATCTTGATTCTTACCCGATTACATTCCAGGGCCTCTGCAGAATGTTCTTCCTTTTGCCTGAAGCAATTTGAACACTTGGACTTATGAAAAATATTCGGAGCGAATTTTTTACACTGCGACATGTTGCGCACCACACAAATAAATAATTAATTAGAAATTAATTAATACAAAAAAAAAATCTCCAACACTAGTCATCATAATAAATCCAGACAAATCAAGCATAGCAATGCTTGTATATAGAGGAAAAGGGAAGAGGGTCCCAAAAAGAAAAATCAACACTTTTCACAAAATAGTTTTTTTATATGCGGCAACCAAACGAGTGAAGGAAGAATCCCGTGCGGAATGCGACGTACCTACGCGCGCAGCTCGACTCGAACTGAGATAGAATTTAGAAAAACATCAGGACGAAACTCCACCGAGAAAAGAAGGTATGTCGTGTCGTGTGTGTTGTTGTTGGAACCATTCAGATTGTGTCGTCAGGAAAACGAGGTAGCGAGGAGCGGTACCACGGGGCCGCACGCGGGAATAGAAGAGACAAGCATCAATCACGTGGTACTTTGCATTTTTGGTACTCAAGAGTGTAGGCAACACTTAAAACAATTTCATCGGATTAAAGCTGCACGTACAGGGACGGGATTTGTACCATAGTACTGAAGTACATAAAACTGAATATTGTTGGTTCCAAAGCGTCTAAGGCCAGAATTGAAAAGTGGACGAATTCATTCAACAATGGTTATTTATTTTATTTCAACGGATTTACCATTTACATTTTTAACAATTATATATTAATGTGAAACAATAACATGTATCGAAACTGGAATTTTCAGGAACTCTTACACCATTCTATCAAACTGTCCAAGAGTCCAAATGCAATCTATTCAATGAACTAGCCATTCTCCAACATGCAACAAGAAGAAATTCCTCGTTATCCCTTGTAGTAGGAGAGCCAGCAATATTAACGGGTATGTGATCGTTGCAATTGATAATTTTCACATAAAAAAATAGCTCATAGTTACCTTTAAACTAAATGGATGGGTGGCCTCGATTCTCATAGCCGCAACCCTTTGATGGCTGGGCGTAAGCTACACCTCTGTTTCCGAAGGAACAATGTTATCGTTGCAATAGCTGAAAATTGGTAGATATATTCTTTAATATGTCTTCTGAAATAATATAGGGTGGCCTCGAATTTGATGACCGGAAATGATGGCAACCCTCATTGAAAGTCGAGCGCACGCGTTATTTTGCTTGCTAAATACAAATTTTTGAAAGTGACAGCCTTCAAAGTCACTTTTAAAGTTAAAAGAGGACTCTGTAAAGAGGATTTTGCATACGGCTGTAGGTCTTTAGACAAAAAAAGAAACATGAAATTGTGTTAATGAAATGTTTGCCGCATTTGATGAGAACCCCCTACACCGCAAGGTACTTCTTATTTGTTGCGCTTATGGTTCTTGAAGTATCTTTTTATAGAACAACTTTACGGCCATGAGAATCGAGGCATAACCCATCCATTTGGTTAAAAGGTTACTATGAACTATTGTTTTATGTAGAAATTATCCATTGCAACGATCACATACCCGTTAGTATCGCCGGCTCTTGGACTATTGAGGAACTTCTAGAGACAGCAGTTCCAGCAATCTGTGAGTTCTGGGACTATCCACACTATTATTCATAGGTTTAAACAAGAATCTAACATCCAACATAATTCTTCTATTGTCTCAAGAGTCGATTCCAGTAAGCAATGTAATATCGCTTTAATATTTTAGTAATGTTTCTAGATAATATTGTAATATTTCATTTTTTATTGCTGCTATATAAGTGCAAGGTTGCTGCAATTACTGAAACGGACTTATTCTAAATATTCACAAATTGTGAAAATCACAAATGCAATGTTTATAGTGATGCCGCGAGACTCGAGACTCGTCTCGTCTCGTCTCGACTTTTCGAGATGAGACTGACTTTTGGTCTCGTCTCGTGAAGGCTCGACGAGACGAGACCAGACTCGGCGAGAGTCTCGTGTAGTCTCGAGTCTCGAGATTACACTTAAAATTTTTCTTTTATAGCTTTATTATTGGACTATTCACTGAGAAATCCTCCAGCCAAAAATTCTTATTGGCTAATGTATTTTTGACTATCATACCAGAAATATTAGCTGTAATTGCAAAACGATCCTCTTGCAGTAGTAAAACGCACTTTACTAACGTAGCAAAATGTCACTTTGTTGTAATAGTAAAGTTCTTTGCTACCGCACTAATATTTTTTTTCATGTTACAGCAGATTGACTTATTATTAAATAGTTATTTTTGTATCTAGTGCGCGAAATGCTTCTTTGGTGATCGAGATCTGATTTTTTTAACGAGGCGCAGCCGAGTTAAAAAATAGTCGAGATCACCAAAGTATTTCGCGCACGCGTTGCAAACAATATTTTTTCTACAAACGTTAAAATATGTAGGTATAACTCGTAATTATTGTTCTAAAATAAATTTAGTAAAATGCTTACTTTGAATTTTTTCCCAAGATAGATTTTGACATTGTCAACTTTGAAACATAAACAATGCCACAAAACATCCCCCCTTAGAAAGGTAAGTGCCACGTTGAGAACCTGTCTATAAGTTTTCAGCGCCTCTAGTGACTGGGGGGGTCAGCTTTTGTAATTCTGGATTTATTGGCGAATGCAAAACGCAATTAGGGTTCGTTCGGTATCTTATTCGTTCCGGTGGATCGTTTGGAGCATCGTTTGATTCTAGCGATTCAACACCACCACTTTAAAGTTTCTACCATTTTTTGGCATAAAATAATTGTGCCAAAAAGAAGAAACTCATAAAATCGGTAGCGTTGAAGCGCCTTCAAGGTAAAATTGACTAAGGATTAAGATGACAACTTTAGATATTTATTAAAGTTTGAAACAGAAAATATAATAGAATATGGAATTAATTAAAATTATTGCGAAACAGTTTTTTTTCATGTAGGTATAGGTACATACATAGGTAATGCTAGTTAAGTTAAAGATAATAAGGACAGTTATACAAGAAGTAATGACGTACATTTAACAATAGCTTGATGAAAAACTTAAATCGTAAAAAAAATGACAAAAGAGGTCCTTTTCTCACAATCCAAAATCGTTGTTAACCTAACAAGTGAGGAAAGTGTTTCTGCACGTGATGGAAGTTGCACGAATGACAACAAAAAGCAGAGTTCGGACAAGCCTTTAAGTCCAGAAAATACACTTTCCGCATGTGTTAGGTAGAAAGTTTATGTAGGTATACATAATATAAAGCTCATTCAAGAAACTGATTTCGCCTGGATAATAGAGTAAATATTTTTGATAATAGTCTATACCCTTCACCACTAGCTTTAAGCAAAGACAACGCCAACAACTTCTCGTCCAATGTAAATCGTCTAGCTTTAGGCTTTTGGTTTTGAGTACGGACTTGGCTTAAAATAAAGCTGTATATCAATGGATTGACGTGGTCTACGAGCCTTTGAAATTTGGTTGATGATGCTAGTTATTCAGCAGCAGAAACTTTGGATTTAAATGACGACAACCTTCTTATACTGATTCTTCTTAACTTATTGCTGGATTCTATAACTTTGGAATAAAGATATTTTTCCCTTGGAGATAGGAATTTTTGCCTAGTGACGTTAATGTTCTTTGAAATTTGGCATCGTCTCTCATGACCTGCAAAAAAAAATTGATCAAGATTGGAAACGAGCTTTTCGCACATTTAGCTTCTAATTTTTTTAGCATTCGACTGCAAGTTTTAGTAATTAGTAGTCTTTTATAGTAGTAGTCTTACTTGAGTTAGGATGTTTTAAAATTCAAAAACCTACTCCCAACTGGGTGGTTATTCATTAAGCAATAACACTTACCAATAAAAGTTTTAAGAGACAAAGTTGGTGACTTTTTCATGTTTGCAGATGTGATGGTTCCACTTGGTGTAGCAATGTCTGCCCGAATTGCAGAAGTTTCAGTAGATAAAAATTGACAACATGAAGGGCCTGGTTGATCTAAAACCGAAATATCGTTAACAATGATTCTACCAAAAAAGTTTGGATACACGCATTGTAGAATATGGTGTTGGTGTGGTATTATTGTATCTCCTGATAAAGGAATAAACATAAACAAAAAAGAAATGAATAATGACTACGTTGATAACGTGTCGTTTCGATGCGATCGATTCGATCCGATAGAACTGCATCCACTTGAAAATTGCGTTATAAACACTGGTGAATCCAATCGAAAACGGATTGAACGTGTTTATAACGCGATTATCAAGCGGATGCAGATTTATCGGATCGACTTGATCGCATCCAAACGGCACATTATAAACGTAGTCATTGTTTACCTACCTATGTCAATCATAGTTGCGAAACTAATTTCTGAAGACGTCTTAGGACTCTTACTAGTTTCAACTGTGTCGATCTCCACTTTTTGCCATTTTGGTGATTGTGGTTTATCAATTAACGACTCCTCACTGTTTTTGAGAATTGGGGCTAAAATTAAAATTAATTTTAATCTTTCTGACCTATGCTCCTTTAAACCCGAATTCTAACACGTTAATGGGGAGGAGTAAGTGAAAATGTAAGTACATCTTCTCACATATACATATCTAGTATTAACTTACCTTCAGGGAGATACAGCAAAAGCGCAGCATTTCATGTGAGTCCTCGTCTGGCTTTTGGATCGCCAACAATAAATTCTCGAGGAAAATGTCTTGTTCACATTCTATGATTATTATAAGCCTTCTCGACACTGAGGCCTGAGGCTATTTAGCAAAGGATTGCGAACTTTTATTAGCCATTGTTTCATTTTTTCGGCATCTTTTGGAAACCGGAAATAGCTGCTGTATTTGTCGCCGCACCCCGGAACACAGCATTTCTGATGCTTTTCAATTAATAAACTGGGAGAAGACATTTTGAGATAATAATTATTGATAATTGATAGGTAATTGATAATTCTGAATGTTGGGAGAATTTCAAAATTTGAATTTTAACGACTGGAAATGACAAAATAAACTTCAAATCTTGGCGACCGGTCCGGCAGGAAAAAGAAAACTTTAATAGGTCGATTGAAGCGCCTCTAGTGATTGGAGGGGAAAGCTGAAACGACTAGACTGACGTCTCTCATAAGACTTACATTTCTAAGGGGGGATGTTTTGTGAACAATGCCGCTTATTGGTCGCAAGTTGTCATTTGCGCGACATGCATTGTAAAACTGATGCCAACCTGCAGGGACACCTCATTTTGCGACCAATCAGGGCCAAGCGGTATTGTTTATGTTTCAAAGTTGACAGTGTCAAAATCTATCTTGGGAAAAAATACACCTTAGTTTAATATAACAGTTAGTGTGGAACTGG